AATGTGCTGCATGCTGGTCAGAAGACATGAAGTCCTCAGTTTTTAAAATAAGAATTAATATAACATTAGGAAGGCCTTTTAGTTCTCCATTTACCTTGGGAGCTCACTAGCTCTAATAAGTGCAATAATAAACTTTGACATTTCTCTAAATTGCGCCAGGATATTAGTTATGAGAAACATGTTTGGAGGTTATTTGCCTCATTTTCTCTTCCCTTTTGCTTTCCACTCAGTTATCCCCACCTTGCACATAGGTCTGTTTACCTAACTTTGGAGAATTTGTGCTTGGTTTGCTTCAGCAAAGAAGTAATTGGATTCCTCTGTTGATTTTTGACCCCCATTCTAACCTCAACCATCACCCTTCTCTAGCCCAAGGGAGACCTGAGCTTTGCTTTTAAGGGAAAGGACAATGAAAAGTCAACTCACAGGTCAGGGACAGGCAGTAATGAAACACCGGGATCAGGTGGCAGCAGCTTCAGCTCCCTTCACAGGACACCGAGCAAGAACGAAGACTCAAGGACACCATTCAGAGAAAAGCAGATGGTTTGTATCAAGGGCTTGGCTATGCTGAATCTCCCGTCAGCCACCGTAGTCTTGCAGAAACATTTCCAGCTACACAACTGGCCTCTTTCATGGAAGGACAGAACAGTTTATGGTAGAGATGCTCTGTAAACTATTTTTATAACCTTGAAGGACATTGGATATAATCTGTGAAGCAATGAAAGGTATGAGTGTTTTGCAGATTATCCCCCAACCTTAGCTTCCCATGAGTACCCCTTTTACAAGGCTGTGGTTTATGCTCCTTTGGGCATGGAGGTCGGGTCACTATTTTGGGAACTGACAACAATAACAGTCAACTTGACTGTGTTCATACTCTTGAGTGTATATAAGCAGCCACAAAATTTGGCTTCTTAATGTGAAATGACACCTGATATGAAACTGTCCCCTAAGGAGGCGTCAAACACAAAAATTCAGTGGAAGCTAGGAAGCACGGGTCCAGCTGAACGTGCACACTGAGCAAAGGCTTTTTCAAATGCAGTAAAAGGAACTCATACAAGTGAACTCTGTAATGAATGTAAATAGTCTACTATATGTTTTATTAGAAGAATGTCATTTGGGGCTTGAATGGTGGATAGAAAGTTTTCTAGAGGCCATGTCAAAAAAAATGCAAAAATATATAAAATAATTTCTAATGTTTATTTGGTGTTTGTGAAGATCCAGACACTATGTTAAATATTTTTCAAGCCTCATAGGTTCATAAAATAAATTATTTAAGGAAAGAAAGCACTATTATGATCTCCATTTTACCGTAAAGGAAACTGAAGCTTAGAAAGGCCAACTAGCCAATGAATGCTTAACCCAGGTCTATCTGAATCTAGTTGCCTAAAATCTTACCCAACAGACATTGTTGAATATTTACCCATGATTTCAAAGCCAGGCATCATACTAAATGAAATTAAGAGATAATAACCTGGAAAATGTGGATAGCCAGAACCACTCCATTAAACAGCCAGTCAGAGCTGAGTTATACAAGGATTCAAAGAAATGTGTATGTGTGCTTCACACAGAAATTAATTTCAGAATAGCCAGTTTGTCAAAAATGATAGCACTTTTTTTTTTTTTTTTTTTTTTTTTTTTTTTTTTTTTTTTTTATACTGGAGTCTTACCCTGTGGCCCTGTCTGGAGTGCAATGGCATGATCTCCGCTCACTGCAACCTCTGCCTCCTGGGTTCAAGCAATTCTCCTGCCTCAGCCTCTCAAGTAGCTGGGATTACAGGTGCCCGACACCACGCCAGGCTAATTTTTGTGTATTTTTAGTACAGATGGGGTTTCACCATGTTGGCCGGGGTGGTTCTCGAACTCCTGGCCTCAGATGATCCACCCACCTTAGCCTCCCACAGTGCTGGGATTATAGGCATGAGCCACCATGCCTGGCCAGTACTCTTTTTGAAATACTAATTTTTAAAAATAGATGAACTGTGCCCTCACCCCCCCCCCTTTTTTTCCCCTGCATTTTATCACAAGCTGATGGATCTATGCTGCACTACAAGCCCATTTCTTTCATCTACTCAGTGGTTTCTGATGACCTAACACTGTTAGGTAAAGGTGCATGTGTTGCCAGTAATTGTCCCACTAAGAATTACTTTAACTCATGTGGTTAGGAGTCAATACCTTCCCAGGAAAAGCACTGAGTGTGCTGGTGGAAGGCACGCACTTATCAAGCAGCAGTTCTTGAGCAGCAATGCTTGCTGTAAAAGTGCTAATATTTATTTTCCACACTAGAGGACAGTGCTTGAAAGAGTAACAGTCCTTACCTCCAAGGTTAGGCAGCACCAAGACTGGAACAATCAGCCCATTGTTAGCTCCCCTAACCCACGTGCAGAGCACATAAAGATTTTATTTCTTTGGCAGAAAAAAAGAGAAATAAGTATGTTTGCTGTAACATGTGGCAGAAATCAATGATGATGCTGTATTAACTTGCTGAGCACAGCAAAAGAGAAATGCCAGTAAAATTTACTAATCAGAATTGCCAAAGAATAAATGAAAGAAGACATCTTTATAAATGCAGGTGAAATCCTTTTACAATAAGCTCTTAAAGAAAGAATTTTTGTTGAAGCTGTGACCAAATGCTCAGAAAAATAATCTGTTGTTTTGGTTTGATTATCATTAGAATTTAGTGATTAAAAACTTATTTACATAAACATTTTGTTTTCTCTCATCAGTAGAATAGTCATACATGTTGTAGGGTACAAAACACAAGGCCCAAAACATATATGTGATGTTATTTGATGGTTAAGTTTTGCCCTTGGAAGCAGGAGATGAGTATTGGAGAGGGAGTGGTTAGTGGTGTTTGAAGATGGATTTAAATACTATAGAAACCCCTTTTGGTTTTACCTGCATGAATCTTCAAGCAAGAGTATCACTAACCACATAGAGTGTCAAAAGGGAGGCATTGTTTCCTTAAGCCATAATTAAAGACAGTCCCTGGCCTTGAACTTTACTTGAACAAGAACTATCGGGACCCTGAAGGATTAACTCAGCATTCATGCTTTTCAAAAGGCGCTGATGCCAGTAAGGAAGAGGAGGAATACGATTTCACCGAAGGGCACCAAATCCAAGACTTCTCATTGTTCCTGGAGCCAGCCCCGGTGATTCACCAATCAGCCAGTGGAAGGGGCTCTGTTTTACTGAACTGAGGTGGGTGTAGTACCCTCTACTTCCCCATTCTCACATCTGACCCCTTTCTACTTCCACTGTTACCCTCATCTCCTGTTTATATTGATTGCCTACAGTGTCACAGAATTGAAAAATATTGGGGAGCCCAGCACAGTCCTGGGTACTACAGCAGATTACACCAATTTTAAATCTTTTCCCTGCCCTGAAGGATATATGGATACACTCGGTAATATAAAAGCTTACAGTCTAGTGGAGAAGATGCCCCCATACCCAATCAACCATCCCTCTGCTAGCGCGAGAACAGCCGTGTTTGAGCAGCGTTAGGTATTCACTCCTATTCACTTCCTACTCCTGAGCTGAGGACACAGTCCTGGGAACCGTGACCCCAAGATTTCTTTTTTTTTTTTTCTTTTTTTTTTTTTTTTGAGACGGAGTCACCCTCTGTCGCCCAGGCTGGAGTGCAGGGGCGCGATCTCGGCTCACTGCAAGCTCCGCCTCCCGGGTTCACCCCATTCTCCTGCCTCAGCCTCCCGAGTAGCTGGGACTACAGGCGCCCGCCACCCCACTATTTTTTTTATTTGTATTTTTAGTGGAGACGTGGTTTCACTACGTTGGCCAGACTGGTCTCAAACTCCTGACCTCGTGATTCACCCACCTCGGCCTCCCAAAGTGACTCCAAGATTTCTAACAAAAATCACCACAGTCTGGAATATCGAGAATTGTGTTCAGCCCTCTGTAGCTGCGTGACCCTCTCCGGCCCTGCCCGAGACAACTAACCACTCTGTACAACTCTCTGCAGAATGAAATTACAGATGTAACCACATCACGGGATTAGTGTGTGGGTGGACAGGAAACAAGGGCGGGAACAACCCTGATGCCCGTCACAGAGCTCTTTCTGTTATGGATCCTTCATGAGCTCATAAACGTCACTAATTTCAAAGGAATAGGCTTTATTCAGCCTTTATTTGGGATGTACAAAATTTCGACCCCAGAGAGAGACCTGATTATTCACATTCCAAAGGATCTTCAACTTTAAAAGCCTAACGCAGGATTTTTTTTTTTTTTTTTTTTAAATGAATTAGCTGGAGTCGTAGAATACTAGCTCTGGTTTAGATATTAGAGCTCTTTTAGGTAGTCTCCTGGTGCTCCACCTCCACATATAAATAAGGAAATAGCAATTGGGATGTTTTCCTTGGGCTAAAAGCAATTTTTTGGAAGAGCTGGTCTTAAAACCAAATCTTCTGATTCTCAGCCCAGTTGGTTGGTCAGCTGATAACTGCAAACACAAGATTAGAATCAGATATACATAATGATAAAGTGGCCTAAAACCATCACATTATTCAGTGAGATTTGCTTATTAAAGAAATCTACATTATACACCCATTCAGAAATATATTTATAAGAAATACTGAAGTACAAACAGCAAGAGTAACCAAAAATGTGTGCACAAATGCAACCAACATCAATATGCCATCACCAGCCAACCAGGTTATTTCTAGTCTTATCAAAATCAACACAGCAATAAAATGTCTCCTTGTTCTTTCAACCTCCTTATTAAAATGCATTAAATTTGTTTTTTTCATATATAGAAAGATAAGGTTATTAATTACAGGAACTGCTTATCAGCAAAATGTAAAATAGCAGGAGAGTCATTTGATGGTTTAGCTAAGAAGAAAAAGGGATAATGGGAAGAAAGAAATTCAGATGAAAGAAGTTGAAGGAAATGAATATTAAATTTATATTCATAAAGGATTTAATTTTTTAAATTGAAACATTTCCTACAAAGAATTCACATATTTTAAAAGAAAGTTGATTATGAAGTACACAAGTATGTATGTATGTAAATTGCCATTAAAATTAAAAGAATAAACTGTTGTATACTTTACTAGATCTTTTACAAATAAAAAGGATCACCTCACCTCCAGAATGGTTCTGGCAAGATTGCAGGTAGCTGGGGTCAGCAAAGGTGTGAGGGAGAGGAGATCTCAGCATCTACTCCAAATGCCTGGCTTGGATTCCTATATAACCTTGTTGATAACTGGAGTTTTGGGGAATCTTAGGTTTTAAGAACTTCATTTCACAGGTACTTAAAATTAATATCCTGTAAATAGAAGGTAGAGGATTATCTTCTCACCAGAAAGCAGAAAAATGCAGCAGTCAATTCTATCAACATAGCCTGTATTTGGAGCACGGCTTTTAAACAGGCAGCCAGCTCTCTGCTGTTGTGTTGTCTTGCCTGTCAATCAAAGTGCTTGGGAAATGGATTCTCAACGTTATGTGTCAGTCAATAACCTCAGTCTTGAAACAGAAGAACATAACAAGACTGGATTTATTTGCATTTAATTTCAATGAATTTACATGTCATGGTCACAGGTTTTAATTTCCTTCACAAAATAAATTAATGGAAGTCACTTGTAGAGTACTGATATGAACAAAGGTTTTCAGCCTAATTTATCTGAAATAAACATATAAATTTAGTAAATTTAAGCACAACCCCTAATTTAGAGGAACAGATAGACACTAGGTATTTGGGAGTCATTATTCTTTTTTATTTTAGTAAGAAGTAATTTTTTTTTTCTTTTTTGGAAATGGAGTCTTTTTTTTTTTTTTTTTTTGAAATGGAGTCTTGGCTGTCGCCTAGGTTGGAGTGGTGCAGTGGTGTGATCTCTGCTCACTGCAACTTCCCAGATTCAAGCAATTCTCATGCCTCATGAGTAGCTGTGATTACAAGCATCTGCCACCACGCCCAGCTCATTTGTGTATTTTTAGTAGAGACAGGGTTTCAACATGTTGGCCAGGCTGGTCTCAAACTCCTGACCTCAAGTGATCCGCCCACCCCGGCCTCCCAAAGCGCTGGGATTACAGGCGTGAGCCACCGCACCAGGTCAGTACGAAGTAGTATCTTTAATATTTGGTGTTGATGAAGGAGGAGTTTAAATTCACAAAGCCTTATGGGGAAACAGCAGCTTTTGTAGAATATAATATTCTGTTTATACGATCTATCAATCCACCTATCTATCTATCTTCTATTTATTGAGTAGTTTTCCAAAACCTTTTCAAATATAGAACACGTAAAAAAAAAAAAAAACTCGTCTGAAAAGGTCAGATTAAAAACAAAGTGTTCTGGCTGTGTTTGGGGTGAAGCCCGTGCCCAGGCCCACTCTGCTGCATCCTCACTTGTGGGTTGAAAGGAGAGATGTGTGTCTGGGAAAGGGACAGTACTGGCTGAAGGAATTGCTGTGACCCCCTGGCAGCCGCCCTTGGCAATCTCAGGAGGAAATGCCTGCAAACCAGGCTGTGTAACAATAGCCAAACAGACTACTTCAGCCTTTGCCAACACCAGAAATAAAGAATTCATTATGACTAATTAATTAATAAAATATGCAATGCTTCCTTTAAGGCTGTCCTGACTGGAAACACTGCAACAAAATTGGAAAACACACTAAACCATGAGTCCCATGTGTTAAACATCCCCCAAATCATATCTGATAAATAAAAAAGAATACCTTCTAAGCCAGTGAAGGGTTGAATATTTCAGGAAGGATCCATTGTTAACCAGTTGAAAAGAAGATACCTCAATTATATTCCATACTGCAGTGGGAAGCATTTTAATTTGAATTTATTTTTAAAAAAACCTATTTTGGCTATGGTTCAATACTTGTATAGTTGGCCAAGTGCTGTTTAATCATGTATTTGAGTCAGTTGGTTGGGGACTGTAAGCTCTCAGAGGACGGGACTCAGCTGCTTAACTTCAGTCCTCTGCCAACTGCTGTATGTTGTCAGGTGCCTAGGGATGGCCTTGCAGCCAGAACTTTTTCTGTGACTTCCTTTTCCTCTTCATTCTCTCTCTGGTCCCCATTCAGACTTTTTAATAAGAGCAAACCACTTCCCTCTATAGAAAGATTCCATCTGCAGAACTTTCCCATTGAGCATCTGTCACGCATAACCAAAAATTTTATAAAATGCAGAGGATGTTTGACTTTGGCCAAAACCATTCTAAGAGACTTTGAAGTTATGGAGGCTCCACTAGTTGTACTCCACTAGAAAAGTCTGGTTTCTTTTTTAATGACACATTGAACCCTAAAACTAGCTCATCAGATCATTCAAATAGCCTGGCCAATTAGATGTTACAGTCCCAGTGACAACATTTTATAGTAAATGTCAGAAAAGATAGGTGGATAGATGAGTTATGATTCTCTATGACAAATGGAACGAGGTTGAGTATCTTCTTAAACATGGGCTCAACTTTCCTCTGAAACCTTTGCAAATGATATTTGATTGCCATCTAAATCAGAAACAATGATGTTACCAAATATCCATTCTTTAATTGCTGCTTCATGCTAGGGAGTCCTTGTGCTTTCAAAAATCCCTTCCAGTTTCCAGGAAAAAGGATCATTCTTTGAACTTTACATGTCTCTTAGTAAATTTGAATCACTGCTTTGGTCCTAGACATTATCGCAGTTTTCAATTCTTTATCAATCAAATCAACCCTAAATAAATTTCTCTTCTTACATGTATGTATTGGGAAGGATGGAGTACCAGATGGGGGAAGGCTACTAAAATAGAATGTCGCTTAATCTCAGATATCAGCATCCTTAAAGCTTCAAATGAGCACTTACTTGGAATAATTGGTAATCCATTGACTCATTCACTAATTCATTCCATAGATGTTTATTGTGTGTTTGAGATCTACCAGGCACTGGACCAGGTTTGGCTAATAATGAACATAACGCATCTCCTTTCCTCAAAGTTAGTGCTACAGACACAGAGATAAACAATAAGGACTGATCATGTGCAGACGACAAGGCACAGGATCCTGAGGGGAAACACAAAAGGGAGACCTAAAGCAGTCTTAGAGAGGAGGGCGGCACTGAGATGAGCCAGCCTGGGGAAGGTGGGTGTGAGAGAATAGCAAAAGGTGAGAAGGGAGAGAGAATCATGTACCAGGTTTTGAAGGGCTTTATGCATCAAAGTAATTTATCTGATCTTAATCTGTTTTTGCCTTTCTCAGACTTTGATACCCTGGTGTCCATATTGCAAAACCACAGGATAAACAAGAAATATCTTCCTGGAGCATTGTTTTTGCTAAGTGGTGAGTAATTTAAAATATTTATTACTAAAGAAGTAGAGTGCAAAATCTGCATACATTTGTAAGATAAATTATAAAACTCCTAAGATATTTTGTACTTGTGACAGGCAACTTCAGATCCCAGGCCTGCTCTCTCCTTTGCCATTGGGGAAATGCTTGTGGAAAAGTTTGCAAAGTGGATTGTAATGGGGAGCTACTTAAGAGTTTTAAGGAGACCAATGACAGGAGCCAGTTTGCAGTTTAGAAAGACTTCAGCCTGCTAGGCAGATAACAATCTAGAGAAGGGTGAGAGTGGAAGCAAGAATCTCTGCTCAGAGGCTATTGCAGTCACAGATACGAGAAATATACTGGCTTTAACTAGGGTGGCAGCAACAGGGATTTTAAAAAGTGATTTGCAAGACATTAAAGCAATAGCATCAATGAGAGTTTTTGATTCGTTCATGTAATTAATAAACTTTTACAGGGTTTATAGGTAACAATGCCTATGTTCTAGGCATTGTTCTAGGTTCACAGTACGGAATAACACAGAAAAGAACTCTACCTTCTCGAGGCTCATATTCTAGAGAAAAGAGACAGATGACACAAAGTAAACCAGCAATTAACCCAATAGTATAAATCAGTGATAAATGTCCCAGTGGAAATGAATTGAGCAATGTGATGATTCCGTGGGGAGCAGATAAGGTGGTCAGAAATGGGATTTGGAGAGTGAAAAGCGAACAAAGCAAACATGATGAGTGAATGACAGTGTGCTATACGGAGACATGGAACATAAGAAGAAAGGAATATTTGAGAGGGAATGAATGATACTGAGTTCAGTTTGGGAGATCCAGGAGAAGATGTCCATAAGAGAATTGCCTTGGAATCTGTGCTTAAAATATAAAGAGATAGATACATAGATGGATATATAGATATATAGATATAAAATACATGCTCACATACAAACACACAAGTACCACATGGAGTCACTTCAGAGATGGGGAAGTACTGAATCTAAAGATATGAAAACAGCAGCAATAGGAAATGAGGGCACAGCCCCAGAGACCTCTTGAGCAGGTGTGGGGTTGAGATGAACGATAATGTGCTTTCATTAGCTAACGAGCATCATCTTAGCTAATACATGCTATGTATGCAATAAATAGCACGTTCTCTGACATTCAGTAGATACAATCAATGGTTTGATGGCTTGATTTGGTACATGTTCTATTCTGCTTTTATTAGTGGAAATAACTCCAAGAGTGTGCATGGGGGAAGTCAGTGGAGCAGTTTGGGCTCTTTTTTGGAGTGTGCTCTACGCATGACTTCCACCCTGCCTACCTGAACTGAAAAAAAGGCACCTGCACAGTCCCTAAAGAGACTCCAAGCTATAATGAGGCCCATGCCCAGCAGCAGAGGGAAGCCATTAAGATAATGAGAGACTCTGGTGGTCTTCCTTGCAGGAGCCGCAGTTAGAGAATTTAAAACCCCAAATTTCAAGGATGTGTTACCACTGAAAAATTCCATTTTTTTTTCTTTCTAGACAATGTGAGACAATAAAACCCCAGTGTGAAAAAGGAGGAAGTTCAAGAAACCTTTTCTGGGAAGAAGTGGAGGAACAGTACATAAACAACCTTTTTTCTTTTTCACCTTGCAAGAGTCCTTCCACCACAGCTGAATGTCTTTCTTCAACTGCTATTGCTTAATAATCTTAGTATTTACATTGACCTTTCAGTTGGTCATTTGGCTGGAGACAGTTTTCTGTGGGGCAGATTTAGCTAAGATCTGCCTGCTGGTTTATACTAAAATCCTGCATAATTATAAAAGCCACAGACCTCACTTTTGGAGTCTTCCAACATCAACATTGAAGAACACTCCATCTTCCAAAAAAAAACCAAACATGTTTCTGCATGAAAGGCCACTTTGAGCAAATGAAAGTATCTGACATGCAGCTCTAAATAGGTCTTTTCACGGGTTATCCCATTACAGTAAATGGAAATGAGTTATTCTTTCTTAGGCATGGGGTGATATGTTAAGAG